ATAGCCATTACATTTGGTTGAACTCCTTCTAGTGACTTTGATCACTCATGCTTAAGGGGTGTGGCCTGACCTCAAGGTTTGACATCTCACCATAAAATACAACCTGGTTCAGACTTTTCATGCGTACACAATAACTCACTGAGACGCCAAACCTTCAGTGATTGAAGGGCTCAATGGTCAAATCCTGACATCATTGAAGCCATGCCCCTGGGAACAGGAAGTTCAGTGTTTTACTTTGAAAGGTCCACATCTGACTCCTGTCACCTAATCAACATGACATTGTGCCCATTGACAGGAAGTTGGTGAAACATGGCCTACAGTGCTGACATGTTTGTGTGTGTACTATTGCATTCAAGTATCATCCCATTCTTAGTGGACATTGCTTAATATAATGTTTGCCTACCTGCTGCAGCCATAGGAGGCTAAAGTGCAGCAGAGAACTTTAGTATTCTTTCAGGAGTACATTTGTGAGGTGCACTGATGCTGGACAAGAAAACTTGGTTCGTGGTCTCCACTCAAAGCCAATTGTCATAATTACTAACTAGTTCCTGGACTAATTATTAAAAAGAATCTTAGTAGAAATATAACTGTTCTTTGAGGCCGTAACATCTACAACGAGAGGAACAGCACAGAACCACAGCTCAGGTGGGAGAATGTGTTGACAGGAAAACGCTATGTAGTGCACTCAACTATTCAGCAAATCATCCCGAAACACCATTCTCACTGTAAAACATGAAGAGACAGAGAAGCTGGTCGAAACTGATGGGAAGAAAGATAGTGCTAAATACAGGGTACTAGCACATGAACATTTTGCAGAGAAATGTTTTGTTTGCTAGGATATGCAATGTAACCCTTCTTTGTATATTAGAGCCTTTAGATTGAAATAGCACAACAATTCAAGTGCTGTGAGTGTGTACAACACTATACTTTGTTGCGGGGGTTAAAGTAGAAAACAAATAGCAAAACAGTTACTAATTTACTTGTGTAATTTAGTAAGTACAGTTTGCCACAAAAGTGGAAATACAACCTGTCTAGCTAGTCTCCACAACGCCTGCTGTTGTCTTTTCTTCTCTGGAGTTCCTGGGCAGCTTCCTCCTCCATTTTCTTCTCCTGCCCCTCCTCCTTTTCCAGAAGAATCAGTTGAGAGAGAAACCGACTCTCCACCTGTAATGTCAATAAAAATGTTGGATTCAGTTTTGTCTCTGGTTTATGGCTCTTCATATCTGATGGATTTTATAGACACTCTCCATTCATATTGACAAAGCCTTAGTTATTTTTCAAAGTAAGAACACATTTTCAGTCTCTAGGTAGGTAAAACTGGTACAAACATACGCTAAAATAGTTATAAATCTATTTGAACCAAAAAGATGGTTCTACAATCGACTCATGCAGGCTGAGTAAAATGCAGGTCACATCTTGTATAATTTTTGTACCATTTCACAATTAGGCAATATTTTCTGTTCCTCTTATGATTTATGCTTCAAAAGACGAGACACTGTATGTCAGAAGAATCAATGAGATGGTCATGTCATTATAGTGATACTATAGCCATAAGACAAAGACTGAATATGACTGTGGTCCCTTCATAATCAGTAATTAATCTTGAAGTTACGCATTATGTTCATGATGTGCACACAAAATGTGAAAAGATTTAGTAACATTATCGTAAGTGGATCTCAGAGCTATGCAGCGCGGACATTTACATGTGTTGTAGATGTCCCTGCTGTGCACATGTGGTGGATACAATTCCTACTCTTCCATCTGGGTGCTTAAATTCATTGTGGTCAGTTTATTTCAGACCAAACTTTAAAGCAATTTTATAAAATTTTAAATAAATTGACAACAGAAGATCAAAAGCCAAGAAGATCTGAATATGCTTACATTTGGGTATGATCTGCTTGCCAGTGGTGTGCGGCCACATGTGGTGTCCATGACAGCTGAGCGCAACTAGTCTTGCAATGATAGCCGTCTTTCCATAGCCCATGTTGCCAGTAATTAATATGCCTCTGTTAGTTGTTGGGTCATTGCTGTGCAGATGGGTGTCAACTTTCTGGAAGAGCCACTCTCTGCCCATGAACAGCCAATCAGACAACAGACCGGGAATCTCGAAATGGAGTGGTTTCAGGTTGAGGGATGGAGTAAAATCAACTGTATGGAAGAAAGGAAAATTTTACAATTATTGCTATTTCACAGTATTTCCAAACATATTTGCTAATCTTTACCTCTGTGGTCCTGCTGATTACGACTCCCAGAATTCTGTCCAGACATTCTGAGGGACATCTTTGAGGCTAAATGTCTCTGTTGATCATCCAGAAAGGCTAGGTCTTCAAGGTGGGCTGAACTTGTGGCTGGAAAAGGAAACAAATTAATTTTGTGTTTAGGTGGAAACAGATACAAGCAGTTCTGTTCTGTAAATATAACTTCTCAACGCTACCACTAGATATTTTTCAAGTAAAAAGAAATAATTAAAAAACTTGTTTAATTTAAAAGATTTTGTGTTTCCAAATACAAACAATAAATCATGTGAACTTTTGGTGCTCTAATTTCTAGTATACTCCCAGAACCTAACCCTTGCATCATCGCCAACCTGTTTGTGTTTCTAACAGATTTTCCACACTCAGGGATGCACCGGCTGAGAACCTGACTCTGGTAATTGGCAGCAGCATCGTTAGAAATGTGGCTCTAGAGACAGAGACATCAGGGATCAGAGTCAAATGTTTGCCAGGGCTCAGAACAGGCAACACCAAATTCTACCTGTAACTAGTGGCTAATATCTGATAACATTCACTGGAGCATGTCTGGTTCAAAGCCACATTACAAACGTTGGAGGAAGTGGTGGACTAATTATTTTAATGGAGGTGTAGACAGTTTACCTTGTTAAAAGAAAGTAATGAGTTAATTTGACTGCAACAAGTGCAAGGCGCTGCACAATTAAATGTGCACATGGCACACTTCCCATATTTCCGCACTAAAAATGCACCGGATAAGGCGCACTGTCGGCTTTTGAGGAAATTGAAGGCTTCTAGGTGCGCCTTTTAGTGCGGAAAATACGGCAGTTGTAAGTTAATCCATCAGGTTGAATCAGGCTCAGACAAAATGTCTGTCTTGGTCTGGGTTGGGCACAATATTTTTAGGTTCGAGCTAATCTTTAGCAGAGATTTCTCCTAAATGAGATTTAGCCGATTGCTAAATCAGCTAAATTCAATTGTTCTGTCAGTGGTTTTCATCACTGTGGAGAAAAAGTTAGATATGTTCATCTGCTTGATTAATGTATGATGGGATCTGGATGGGTATGTTCAACTTGCTGAATATTAAACAGCATAAAAATTAAATGCAACAGAACAGAATGAAGTTCTTTCTTGTGTGCATGTGTGTGTCAATATAATTTCAGATTTAAGGGATTAATATGGAATATGACAGAATATTTTTGATGTCATTAGTCGAAATGACAGAAAACAAAAAAATCTAGAGGTTGCACTCTGGATTAAAATGAAATAAGTTTTTTAGAAAGTGCCTTGAGATGACATTTGTTGTGAATAGAAGCTATAAATAAACTAAACTGAATTAAGTGAAATAGTTTTTTTTACAAGAGTATCCATTATGTTTGAATGTTATGGTCACCCTGCTGCATCACTCTAGCACAGGGGTGGGCAACTCCAGGGCTTGAGGGCCGGTCTCCTGCAACTTTTAGATGCGTCTCAACTTCAACACACCTGAGTCAAATAATGAGGTCGTTAGCAGGACTCTGGAGAACCTGACTGCACTTACACTCAAAGAAATAACTCTTTGGATTAACATTAAAAAAATCATGGAAAGGATTTCCACCTGATTACTTTGCTTTGTTTCAGCACTATGTAATTCTGTTACTCCAGTTTAAAGCAAATGTTTTGGCTCAACTTAACTTTTGAGGTTGATTCAACTCGTATGCTTTAGTTAGACCCAATGTAATTTAGTAGAACCAGACCAACTAATTTGCAATGTTTTGGACCAAATAATTGACTTTACTTGATTAAGATGAATGCAAATTTAGTTGAAACCAACTTATTTAACAGTGATACCTTCACACTACTTAATTAAGTTGATCCAACCCATGAAAATTAAGTTAGTTCAACAAACATGCTTCATGCTGAAAGAAAGCTATTTAATTGTGTGGAAATCCTTTCCATGATTGAATTACGTTAATTCAAAGACATATTTTTAAGTGCTACTAAATTAAGTGTTTTAAGACCGCACTGGGTGACAGGGTAGAAAGAACACTCAACAATTAGAAAAGGTATAACAGAACTGTATTTTCAAAATTGTTGTCCATTTTCTTTACCATGTGCAGTGCAGGCACTTTACTACAAAAGGTATAAACTCTTGCCATATGGCAACCCATTTGAACATTCATTAAAGCTAGTTTCAATTAATAGTTTAAACAAAACCTTTAACGTCAGTGTTTAATTAGTAACAAGAAACTTCAAAATAGTTCAGCTTACCACAGGCACAGATTTTAAATTTACAAGATTCAACGTTTTATTTTAACAAAATGATATACTTAGCATAACATAACAGTCAATAACCACACAGGAACCTGGATGAAGTCTGCCATGGCATCTGAATCCTGTGGATAATAAGAAAAGTACAAATTAAAAAAAGAATGAGGTGAAAATTTTGATTTTCTTGTGCACAACCTCTGACAAACAGAATTATAATACATACAAGAGACATTGTACAACTCTCCTCCATCGTTGTCGAGGAAAACTGAGAGACATCCCAGAGTAGAGGTCCTTATGGCAACAGCATCTTTGGTCTACAAGTAGGAAAAACAATAAAATATTCCGAAGAAAACTAAATCACCATCCATCCATCCATTTTCTGTACACCCTTGTCCCTTAATGGGGTCAGGAGGTGCTGTTGCCTTTCTCCAGAAAACATTCTGGGTGAGAGGCGGGGTACACCCTGGACAGGTCGTCAGTCTGTCGCAGGGCAACACAGAGACAGACAAATAACCATACACACACACACACTTAGGGACAATTTAGTGAGGCCAATTAACTTGACAGTCATGTTTTTGGACTGTGGGAGGAAACCGGAGTACCTGGAGAGAACCCACCATGCACAGGGAGAACATGCAAACTCAATGCAGAAAGACCCCAGGCCAAACGAATTCATATTTTTTTTCAAAATAAGTGGCCTAGAACAATTGTTCACCCTTAAAGGCCCCAATATACTCGGACGTACTGTGCGCATTCCATGAACCGCGCGTACTGTCCACGGACTCCGTGTCTTCATACTCGAGCGTACTGAGAACAAATTCCGTGACAAATTCCTTTATTTCACACAATCCTAATGAGAACTAGCAAGTTTGATTAACTATTTGGGCCTCTAGCTCTGTTTCTTCTCCATCTGAGAAGCTTTAACTCAAGAAGCTTTAACTTACCTCTCAGTGCGGGACAGAGAAAGGCAGTGACATGTCGGTTCATCTGGCAAAGACGGTGAACCGCTGCCCGGAGCAGCGCAGCTTCTTTCTGCGGGCAGAGGAGCAGCAGGAGGCTGCGCTGGCTTTAGCTGTAATTGGGGATCCATTCAATAAGCTCTGTTTATGTTCCGAAAGCACAATTGTGATCGGTGTAATAATTTGTGCAGCAATCGAAAATGAGCACATACCCGATCATTATTCCTTGCCGTTGTTGGGAGAAAAAAAAAGTCAGACTGAACTTATCGGACCACCTCTCTGCTCCGCTGGTGATAAAGAAGTCTGGGATGATGTCTTGTTTTTGTTCTCATAATTCTGCATAATTGTCAATATTTGCTTGAATATATAAAGCCTGTTGCTGTTAAGTATTTTCGCTTACGTGTCTATCACTTCCCCATGACAACTTTATGTTGACTTTTATCATGTTGATCTCAACATTGAAACAATATGAACTCGTATAACCCTGGGTTATATGAGTAAAGTTATAGTTATCAACCTTATCAGCCCGGTGTCACATGAAAACCAGTTCGATGTGAACACCGTTTCCACCAGGCAGTTTACTGTGCGGCACCGAGTACACGTATGCGCTCATAAAAATCTATCC